TCCTCTTACTTCCTCTAATAGTGACATATTTATGCCAATGCACTGACTTAACAGTTACTTGGATTTTTAACCTTCTATCCCAAATTTCAGAAGAAAAGACTTCTCTCTTTAGAAGGACAACTGCTATCAAATGTCTGAATGCAGAGTGTGGTAGGCTGGAAGGCGAAGGAGTAGGGTCAGCAACAGGAAATGTACATTAAAAAGATTGTTTTAAAAATTAAAACTCCTTTCATCCTTCCATTCAGAATAGAAAACAGGGAGAGGACTTGACAAAACAGCTGGGTGCCAACTGGCCCCACTAACTTTTGCTCTATCCCAGAACTCCCCGGTTCAGAGGTACCACAGTTCATTTTCCTGGTGCCTCCTCTCCTCCCAAATACCCTCAGCACTCCACGTTGCACAAAGAGTAAACGTGGAGTATCCAATGTATGGATAAATGATAGAAGAAAAGACATGGATGGCACAGGCAGGATAATTCAAATAGGCAAAGAGAGGGTCACTTACTGATAACCTATTTTGTGTCAGGAAAGTCAAAGCCGTGGGTGGTCAGTGGGGAGGGAACTCCTACTGTGGGAGACTGAAACTCAGCAGCTCTCTTTAAAACCATGTGTTTATGTGACACTTATGTGGTCTGTTTGCTTTACCATGTACATAATAATGATTATGTGCACTTTAGTAGGCTTAATATATGTCAGATTAATTTTATTGTGAATTTTATTTGATAAGCACTATAAATTCCAGGGATATATCATTGTTTTCATAGTTTCCTACTGAAATATCATGACCTGAAACTTTTTTAACTCTGAAAACTCCATAAATGTGTTCCTTAGTGAAGGGGAAGCAAATCGTCACATAGCTGCATACTGCAACAGGCTGAAATAAATCACAGACTGTCTTATCTCTGTTGGTGTAGGTTAACATAGTTTTAGTACTGACTCTGTCATCTCTTCCAGATGTTTCCCTAGTTTTTGTTTAAGCCTAATATCTTATTTATTTGCACCTCAGCTATCATATTTCATGAGATTCTGATGAGGAATCTTTCCTTATTTCTTATTTTTAAAGACCACCACCACAAGTACCCAATTTCTCCTATGAGCTCTTTTATTCTGCAAATAAGCTAATAGCAAATAAGGTAATAAGCAGGCACTGATCTGAATGTCTGATTTTGCTCCAAAGTTCCTTGGATCTTTAATAAAGTAGAAAGTAGGCTCTACACAGGCTATTTGTTAAATTATTCTTTTCAATTATTCCCTTATATCCCAATTTAAGAAAACTCCCTCTAAAAATAAAAAGTCATCAAATAAGACTTGAATTTTTTCTTGGGACTGGCTGCCTAAAAGGCATTCATAACTCTTTTCCCTTGCCTTTTACTTCTCTAGAGTCTGAAAAACTAAAATGATTCCCCATACTGCCTAGCTATTGGGGGACCATGTAACTCACTTCTAGCTAATGAGATCTAAGTGGAGGTCCCTGGGAGGAGATTACAGGAAAGCATTCAAAAAGGACAAAACTTGGCTGACATGTGCCTTTGGCATGTCCTAGACTTCACCCTTTTTAATGAGAGGTGGATACTAAGGGTGCATAGACATCTTCCAACTGTAAGGACAAAAACCCCACTCTAAGGATGTGGAGGAAAAAGCAAACAGAAAGCCAGGCTACTTGATTACAGTATTGTTGAGCTGCCATACTGAGACACACAAGGGCTTGTCGACGAGGCAAGTTAAGTCTTATTCGTTAGATTTTGCTAATACTTGCAGTTCAGCATTATAATTATTCCATGCCCACCCACCAACGTTTGTGTAAATATTACAAATCTAAAGTTTTCTATTATTGATCTTCCCCTATTAACAGCACGATATGGTACATGCTATTACTCAAAGGCACATTTAAAATATGGAAGGAATAAAGTTCATTCTGCATAATCATTGAAATTACTGGATAACATCACTGAATAAATTTTAGCATTTAAAAAATGGATTTAAGCCTGGATTATATTTATACAGATGGCTTCTAAACTCATCAAATATTTTAGCATACCCATTTTTTAATGATGCCTTTTCTATCCAAATTTGCAATATATCCCAAATTATCAAATCCTATTCTGCAATATTTTATGTAGTCTTGAAAAACATTCTTATTCTCTTCCCTAGAGTTATTTCAGACACGCTTAATTCAATGTCTGGAGACACTTCACTGCTGCTGACATTTTTGACACCAGATGTAATTAGTAACGCAGAATTCTTTCTCCAAAACTACCTATGACATATGCTAAGATCTAAAATTATAACTCAAGATTAAAGTCTTACTAACCTTTATTATAAAATATTAAAGCTGTCTAACCTCATATCTTTGAAAATATAATAAAGGAAACTGAAAATGCCAATAGCAATGGCTAGTTATGAACATTTCATAACCAGAAAAAACAATGCTTTTTCATGTATTTATGTTTTTCAGAACTATAAAACTTCTTATTTTCTTCCTCTGAGAAGTTGTTTCAAATTGCTTGAGGCTTAACTTAAAAGAAAGGGCACAAACAACCACCAAAGAAAGCAGGGGTCTTTCTTTCTAAAAACCATTATTTTGACATTTTATTCCCATGCTCAAAATCTTCAATAGCTCCTTACTACTTTCATAAATTCAGACTCTGTGGGTTCAACCCATCTTCCCTCTTCAGCTTTACTTCTCCTTATTTTCCCACTCTGATCAAAAGTACTCTATTTGAAGAGTTTCACACTGCTCAATTTTTACGCAATGACAGTCACAACAGTTATTACATAAAGAAATTCAAAAGAATTTAGAAGTCAAAGAAACATCCATAAAAATACCACATAACCATTAAAAGTCATATTCTTCAAGAGCATGGTGATATGTTAATGAATATACTTTTAAAAGTGAGAATTGTTACTATTTTAAAAATGCTACAGAGAAAAATAGGCTATTCTAGAAATAACCTACTACTACTATAGAACAGCTAGGTAGTCCATTTTGAAAGTACCTATTTATCAGTATTATGAAGACATTGGAGAAACGGTTTTTTTAAATATTGGCTATAAATAATAATCACAAGATCGGCTATACTGCCACCAAGAGTTATATGTGACAGAAACAGCTAAATACCTAAGCTATTAAATACATTTTAAAAGAATACATACAACTATAATTTATTCCTTCAAAACACTAGTAACGTGCTAAGTAGATCTTATCTTTAAAAGAGCAGAAGTAACTCCAGAGAGGTTTGGAAAGTTCCAGGAAGCACTCTTGGAATTTTATTTATTATCATCAAACCTATATTTCAGTATATGCTTAGTAAATGAAATAATTTTTTTTAAATAAAAACAAAAGGTTGTATGTTCCTTTGGGGCATAGGCCTTTTTTTCTATTTCAGCCATAAAATTCTGAGATCCTATTTCCATTGTGAAACTGCACAGGTTTAATAAAGAAACCCTGTTGACAACATTTTGATACATCATCTAGATCTTTAATGCAATAGATTAATGCAAATTCCAAGAAGCATGTACTAATTGCTATTAAAACTGCTATGCGTAATATTCAGAAAATCTCAATTATGGAAACAATAACAACTGACCATTTTTATTCACTTAAGAACCCAAAGAACCCAGCAAGTCCAGTTAAAACATTGAGAGAAGCACTGGTTTTATTTTTAAATGTAGCATTTAAAATATTTTAAAAGTCTTTATGTTTTTTTCCCAAAGTCTTGCAATTTAGATGAGTCTCTTTTAAGACATATCAAAACAAGAAACTAGAATTCTATGTCCTTTAATACCAAAAGTATATCCCAAATCCATTCTTGGTTTTCCATTTCCCTATACACCACCGAGGTAACCTTCTCCTAAATGCTTCCTCACTCATCTATCTTTAGGTTTACTTTTGTCCTCCTATAATCCTTTTTCTATACAGGCAGAACATTTTTTACAAAATGTTCACAAGATCACGTCACTCTTCATCTTAAAGCTCTTCCACCACAAATAATAAAATTCAAACTCCTTATCATGCCATACAAGATTAAGCATGACACTTGACTTTTATCATGCTCCTGTGACATTAGCTTTCATTCTGTTCCTCAAACACACCAAGTGCATTCCTCTCACTTGCCTTCACACATCTGCTGTTCTCTTTGCATGAAATGCCTTCCACACCATCAAGTCCCCAAACTCTCCACATGATTCACTCATCTTCATCATGCAAATGTCATGTCCAGTGTAAGGTATCAGATTTAGCAAATAAAAACAGGGGACATTACTTATACTAAAAAAATTATTCACTGCTTATTGGAAATTGAAATTTAACTGGGCATCCTGCTTCAGCATCATGAGCTGACAAGCCTGCTCCAGTGTCCTCTCTTTAGGGGCTTTCCCTATGATCACCAGAACTAAAGTCTCCTTTGCTATAACTTGTAACTTCTTCACCATAACCTTGTTTCTTCATAGCACCTGTCAACCTCTGGAAATTACTTCATTCACTTCTTTGGTTTCCTCACTCACTGCTATGTCTGTCCGACCTCCATCCTGTAACGTGTAGTTCACCTCCCCCGCCTTCTATCCCTCACACCAAACTTCTATCCCACGTTAGCACCACAAACACAGTCTTTTCTTGTCTTTGAAGTTTCCCCAGCACCTAACACAGTGCCTAGTACAAAATAAATGCCCATAAAATATCTGTTGAATGAATGAATGCTCTCAATTTAAATACTTTCTAAGGTGTTTAGTATTATTTCATTCTGACTCCGCAACAGAAATAATGTTAAAGTTCTGGAAGGAAGACTAGTCAGACTAGGTTTCTCATGCAAGCAAGCCATCTGAATACTATAGTTTTATGTGATTCATTTAATTATTAATGTTGTACTGCAACAAGACAAGTAAGAGCTGTTCATAATTATTTGCACATGGCCAAAAATAACTCTAGGAATATAGAAGTATTAATAAAAACATGCTTATAGAATAAAAACATTACATCGATATAAAACTGCAAATCCATTTTACCGTCTTAATAGAACTTCGCTGTTTTTCTTCCCAAACACCACTGCTCAACTCAAGTGTACAATGAATAGTTGCCTCTCTGTCATAGGATCCAAAAATGAGTAACCTGCAGTATAAAAACAAAACAAGGAGACTATTACATCAGTTATATGCACTAAATTTTTCTTTCTGGTCATTATACCAAGAAGTAGTAAATTTTTATATTACTATTATAATTTTGGTAACAGAAAAAAAAATTAAACACTTGGTACACCCTCTAGTGGAAAAGTGAAGTAAAGCTAAAATTAGGTGAAGTTCAAGAACAAGCTATTTTTCAGCAGCTAAATCAAATAGAAAGTAATACCTATTCATAAGGTAAACAAATTGATCAGATATCCATACATAGTATAATATCAAGAGCTAGAGCTTCAAATCAGACTACTGAATTTAAAAAATAAGCTGCAGAGTCGATACACATAGTATGGTACCATCACTATAAAAAGTACATGAACATAATAAAATAGTACAAAATAGTTGCTTATGAATAAACACACACTTCTCATCTACTAATGTGACTTTAGGCAAATTATTTAACTTCTCTAAACCTATCTCTTCTTTTGGAAAATTCACAGCAAAAATAGTACTTACCTCTTAGAGCTGTTGTGAAAAGACAATACATACAAGTCACTTGGCACAGTACCTAGCAAACGGTAAGTGCTCAATATCTGTTATTTCTACTGTCTGAAAACGATTGTCAAGGAATAACTGCATCACCTTATTTTGCTGTTTAACTGAAAAGGAAACTTCAGATCCCATCTTAAGATGATATAAAGCAGTTATATCACTGAAGGGAAAAAATGTTGCCCACATGTCCAACTTTTATATTACCTATCTTCTAAATTGAAACACAAGTCTGCCAGTATGTTTTATTTAGGAGGGGTAAGCTTAAGAATAGCTTTAACATTAATCAACATTTTTTTCTGCTACTCTATTATCTCTATGGGAAGATTATGGGGGTAAGAGTGAGATAATGAAAGAAAAGTAGATAAACCATATTAGACTAATATGAGAAAATTACGCCCTAAGGTTGGAGACCTCAAGCAAATCATGTCCATACCTCACAAACTGAAAATCCTGAGTAAACTGATAAGAAAAATCCTCAAGCTTAAATAATTTTTAATGTCCAAAGGAAATTTTTTTTATTTTGGTATCATTAGTCTACAATTACATGAGGAGCATTATGTTTACTAGACTCCCCCCATCACTAAGTTCCCCCCACTACCCCATTGCAGTCACTGTCCATCAGTGTAGTAAGGTGCTGTAGAATCACTACTTGTCTTCTCTGTGTTGCACAGCCCTCCCCGTGCCCCCTCCCCCACATTATACATGCTAATCATAATGCCCCATGTCTTTCCCCCCAACCTTATCCCTCCCTTCCCACCCATCCTCCCCAGTCCTTTTCCCCTTGGTAACTGTTGGTTCATTCTTGGGTTCTGTGAGTCTGCTGCTGTTTTGCTCCTTCAGTTTTCTCTTTGTTCTTATACTCCACAGATGAGTGAAATCATTTGATACTTATCTTTCTCCACCTAGCTTATTTCACTGAGCATAATACCCTCTAGCTCCATCCATGTTGTTGCAAATGGTAGGATTTATTTTCTTCTTATGGCTGAATAATATTCCATTGTGGATTTGTACCACATCTTTTTTATCCATTCATCTACTGATGGACACTTAGGTTGCTTCCATTTCTTGGCTATTGTAAATAGTGCTGCGATAAACATAGGGGTGCATCTGTCTTTTTCAAACTGGGTTGCTGCATTCTTAGGGTAAATTCCTAAGAGTGGAATTCCTGGGTCAAATAGTATTTCTATTTTGAGTTTTTTGAGGAACCTCCATATTGCTTTCCACAATGGTTGAACTAATTTACATTCCCACCAGCAGTATAGGAAGGAGGGTTCCCCTTTCTCCACAACCTCGCCAACATTTGTTGTTGTTTGCCTTTTGGATTGTGGTGATCCTTACTGGTGTGAGGTGATATCTCATTGTGGTTTTATTAAAAGGAAATATAATCTTAGTGCTTAACAACCTGTTGCCAAAAACATTAGAAGATTCATACTTATAAAATACTAGGTTTAGATAGAGTTTTCATTCATCAAAGCTCTGCTGCCACCATCTGTTCAAAAGAGCAAACTACTTAGGGCCTTTACTGTCAGGCAGAAAAGGCTAAAAACTAACTAGTGTTCCCAAACTCCTAACAGATACACACTCTCAGGATTTAGGAATAAGAAAGCACAATTCTTAAAATCCTCCCCTGAGATCATAAGTTATTCTATATTTTTCATAACAACTCTTCTATGTTGTTAAAAAACATTAAGTAAGATTTAACAAAACTTAATTCACAATGAATGAGTCACACACCTAAATCTGAGAGAAGAGAACATCAAAGCAAACTTTTGTGACCTTGGTTTGCTAAGGACAGGACATACCAAAGCGTAAGTACCAAAAGAAAAAAAAAAACAGATAAATGGGACTTCACTGACAATACAACCTTTGTGTTTCAAAGGACACCATCAGGTAATTGAAAAGACATCCACAGAATGCGAGAGAATATTTGCAAATCATATATCCCCTGAGGGTCTAGTATATCCAATTAAAAAATGGATAAAGGATATGAGTAGACGTTTCTCCAAAGAATATATGCAAAGATCCAATAAGCACATGAAAATATGCTCAATGTCATTAGCCATCAGGGAAATGCAAATCAAAACTACAATGAGGTACAGATACTACTTCACACCCACTAGATGGCTAATAAAAAAAGAGGCAGTATATTAAACTCCTGTCTATATTCCTCCCCCTCAGAAACCATCCCCACCCAGGACTCAGCTTTCTGCCCATGACAAAGACTTCCAAACTTAATCTCTAGTCTTTGTCTTTGTCCTGCTCTAGCTCTGAAAGCCCAAGTTCCCATAACACTTCTACAGGGAAATCTAACCATGCCCTACTACTTAAGATACATAAATCAAATCCATCTCCCTCTGCAACAAGCACCTCTATTTCTCCCTTTAGTCCTGAAAGGCAGAAGCTATGTTTTACCCTTTCTATCCTCCAATATATAAAAAATAATCAGTACTTGATGACCAAAGGCAATGATACCACAATTCTCCTAGACTCAAATCCTTAACATCCTTTGCCTCCCCCACCTACACCCATCCACATATTCCGTCACTCACAGAACCTTGTCCTACTTACCATTTATGCCTTCCTTCCAGTTCCTACTAATTCATGCCTTTCAAGCACTTAATCTCCTCTTACCTCCTTACCTCTTACCTACAATAATTAGTCTCTGGGGCTTCACTCTTTCTTGGTGAATCCACTCTATAAATAGCAATCTTCTGAAAACAAGTGTTTCTTAATGTCACCTTCAGACACTTTCAACAACTTTCCTCTGATTAAAAGAATCTTGCCTTCTGCCAGCAAATTTAAATTTGGCTCTAAATTTTCACATACACAGCTACACTTCATTCAGATAAGGTCCCTGAAAATACCTGACAAATTCTCAGGTTAATCTTACTGGCTCTTTTTCTAATTATCTAAAGTCTGCCACTCATCTGTGTACTTGTACTAGAAGATACACTCCTATTCATGAAGCGTCCACAGCAGCTTCATCTCCAAAACACTCTCTCCTCACACTGATTCCCACAGTACTGCTGACCTCGAACAACATGTCTGAACTGTGGGTCTACTTTTACACAAATTTTTTCTGATAAATGCAAGTCTCCAAAAAATTCTCTGATGTAACAATTTGAAAAACCATTTTATTTTCTCTAGCTCACTTTGCTGTAAGAACACAGTATATAACACACACATAAATGTGTGCTGACTCTTTGTTATTGGTAAGGCTTCGGTCAATGCAGGCTACCAGTAGTTAGTTTGGGGAACCAGAAATTACACATGCATTTCAAGTGCAGCCTAAGCCCCGGGTTATTCAAGGCTCAACTCTACTTACTAGGTCTCATTGAAAATCAGACACCCCTGCACAGCTGGCTTGTTTATGCATTTGCTTTCATCTGTTAGCCCCAAATACATTTAAACCTAAAGCACAGGTGTTGGACATCACACTCCTCTGTGTTTGCCACAGCACAGACTGCCTTTGCTGTTGGAGGCTGCAGGATGGTCGGGTGGCAGTGGCTGCAGCAGTGGTGGCAGCAGCAGTAGCAGTGGTGACAGTAGCAGCAGCACCAGCAGTGACAGCAGCAGCAGCAGCAGGGGCAGCTGACATTTCCCACCCGATGGCTCTACATTTATTAGCTCCCTCAATTCTCACAAGTACTCTAAGACACAGGTAATATTACCCTAGCTTTTAGACCAGAAAACTGGTTGGGTCATCTGCACAAGATCACAGAAGTAGTGAACGAAGAGTCTAGGCTACATAAACTGAGACAATGAGTTCACGAAGTTTGACAGGAAAAGGAAAAAGGTAGCTACGTTTTGGTTAAAATCAGGAGTCCCACCTCCACCTACAGATAAAATACCCAAGAAGCCTGCCTGGCAAGCTACAGCATAATGGAGCAAATGGGAAAACTTAAAGATACAGTAAGGTTTTTGAATGCTTATTTTCTGACCACAGTTCATTTCACAGTTCACTTTGTTGCGGGCATTATATGTAAGTATGTAACATGCCAGCATCACAACGGAAAACATTTTGGAGTTTGGCATTTTAAAGCAGAGCTTTGGTTTTATGTCAGCTTGGTTCCTACTTAGTTTGTTTCAATTCTTTTACAATTCAAACACCAGGAGAATTGAACCAGTTGTGCTGCTTTGTGAAATGGCAGTGGAGGTGCACAATTACAAAAGAAACAGTACTATATGCCAGATGACGACCTTAGGGAAGAGGGGCTGACCCTATTTACTGCAACAATTTGAAAAAAACTGTTGCATTTAGTCATCAAAATGATACTTCATTGTTAATTTCTACATCCCAAGATTCATGTTTAAAAGAATGACTCACCTTCAAATAGGTAAAAACCAATTTCCAATATGTATATAATTCTAACATAATATGAAACCTTTCAGAAACAAAATTTTCTTCGTAAGTTAAAAAAGTAAAAAAAAAAAAAGGATATGAAGATTAAAAAAAAACAAAAGACAAAGAAAACCACCTCTAGGCATAGCCAAAGGGCCGAAAGCCAGAGATAAAGTCAGAACTTGGAAAGCAGCTACAGAATAATGACATGCTACACCTGGACAAGGAATAATGAGACTAACTGTTGACTTCCCAACAGAATACGGGATTAACATAATAAAGTGCTGGTGGAAAATAACTGTCAACCTAGACTTTTCTGTCAGGAAAACTATCCTTCAAAACTAAAAGAAAAGTAAATTTCCAAATAAACAAAAACTGATTTTGTTGCCAGACCTAAATAACAAGAAATGCTAAAAGAAGTTCTTTAGGCTGAAGGGAAAGGATACCAGATGACAATTTTGAATTACGGGAAGGAATGAAGAGCAACAGAAATGGAGAATATACAGTAAACTAACCAGACCAAAAAAATCAGTAAAGGTCCAGAAGATTTTTGGACAACAAGGCAGACTTTACTTTGTGTCAACTGTTTACCAGTATCATGTCCCAACTTTGCACTGTTCTGATAATGCAAGGTTTTGGTTAGCACAGTGCATTGGGGAGTAAGGACTGCCTGTATTTATTTTGTACAGTCTTGGGTTTTGGAAGCATGTTAATGCTGTGCACAGTCAAAAAAAAAAATCAATAAGGATGGAAAGGCAGGGGTGGTAGGGAGACTGACACTGAAAGTGAAGTAAAACAAAGCCAACTATAATTCAGATGAGTCATGTAATCACACAGAGGACAAATTAATCTAATTTATGAATGTAGTACTTGACCATATGCCCTCAGTGTTAGGCAGAGCAGGAGGAAACTGCAAATAAATCCTGAATTCCCTTTAGTCAGTATGTTTTATGTACTTGTATGGACAAAGCAATTCTGAAACTGAGATGTATTACAGGATTGAGCAAATGATTAAAAAAGCTGATGTTATTGGGAGGCAGGGTCCAAGGGACATAAAACTATGAAGAGGGAAAGAACCAAGGCAAGGAACAACCCTAGGAAGATGGATTTGAATTGGAAGAATTGGGTGAACTTGTGATTTCTAAATTATGTATGTGTTGTATGTATTTATATATGTATAAATGCCTATACATATATGTATTTCCTATCTGTACACTGGAGGGGCCTATAAATATATGAAGAAGCAATGGACACATCCAAAACACAGATCTTAATTTCTAGTATCATTTTCTACTAAAAGGAACCAGGCCCTTTAGAAAAGCAGCTGATGCTAGGACTGTGGCAGAGAAGGTACAAAATGAATCTGGAACAGCCTGTTATAGGTTCATTAGTGAACCTATGATAAGAATGAAGACCTCAAAAAAAGAAAAGAAAAGAAAGGCAAGGTTACATCCCAAGGATATAGGAGTCAGTTTGAAGGGGTTCCTAGTGGCCAAATCAGGGACAATTTAGGCAACAAAATAATTGAGGATAATAAAGAATTATAACCATTGGAAAAAAATAGGAATCCAAGAATCCATGTTGATAACAGACAATTGGGGAATAAGAAGACTTTTGGTAATAGAGTAGGACGTAGGAGATCAGCTGCTGCGGTTTTTTCTATTTGTGTTAACATTTAAAAATGTTTTGAGTAAGATATTTTTGGAACCTGGGAAAGCAAAACAACACACCAAAAGCTGCTGAGAAAACACAGACTTTAGAACAGTGTGACTCAGTGAAGAAAAGACCTTAATTTGAATCTTCTTCCATCTGTATTTAGGACAGACCATCCTAAATATACTACTTTAGGGTACGGAACTCTCACACAACAAAACTTTACGAACTTTGCTTTCACTGACGACAATCTTTGTTTTCTTATGTAACTGGAAGATAAAACCAGCCACATACACACACAAATGAAAATTCATCCATGACACCATTTAGGGTCTTTTATATAAAGATGTATATAACAAATCCCAATTTGGTACCAGAATTTCTCCACCACTGAAGACCATGTACAGTTTATCAGAAAATAAAAGCTAAGTAATCTATCACGTTTCCTTTGCTGCTAGAAAACTGATCTTTTATTTATATAGTTGCTTTTGATCTAATTTATCTTCTCTAACTGTATATGGGCATATATTTTCCTCAAAATACCTCAAATCCTTTAAGACAGAAGATGGACTATATAAATTTAAAAATAATAATCTTAATGTGTTTGCAACACTAATGTGAAATGATTTAGGCTTTTAATGGCAGTACTACAAATACAGCAATTGAGTTCATCCGTGGTTAAAAAATCAGCTTTAGTCAATGCAAAAGAAAATGCAACTGTCCAGAATGACTGTGTTTTTAAAAAATGTGACAAAAGAAAAGTGTTAGAACCAATTTTTAAAAATGAAATCATGTCTTCACCGCTAAGCTTTTAACTGGGAGATTCAAAATTGTATTTCAGATAATTAGAAAAGACAGACATATAATCAAATACATAGCCTCACCAGCAACACTAAGGCAAAATAATTAGTTTTTAAAATTCCTAGCACAAGTACCTCTTTATTAACATCATAAACATCCTATTAAACAAATATCTGTTGAAGGAATGAATCAATGAATCTCTCTCAAGGCTACCTTTGCAGGTTTGGGGATGAATGGATGAATAGGTGGATAGGAATTAACAAGAGGAGAGTCAAGAAATTTTGCCCAAAGCTGCCCTTCAAAGGTTTGAAAGTTGCTATGATTATTTTGGAAAAGGCAATTCAACAGCATGATTCTGATACCTGTGAATCTACAAAAAAAATTCACTGAAAGAAAGAAAGAAAGCATCAGTTCAAGATTTCCTTAGACACAGGCCATCTGAAAAATATCCTTCTGAATATTAATATGACAAGCCCAAATTATAATTAGATATTTAATACTCATGTTTACCATAGCATATTAGCTTAGCCATGTCAAATTTATACTTGTGTAGAGCCATGTTTTATTTTATATGTCATTTTACTGGACAATACCTTCTACAAAATTTATAGTACATTTAATCTTTCTTTGATAAAATAATTCCTTTTCAACCAGACTTTCTGACATAATGGTGCACAATATTGAGTCACTTCAAGACTTAAAAAAATATTTATCATATTATTAATATACTCAAAATTAACCTATTAGCAAAGACACAAATATATTAGGTATAATATATAACCTGTCTACTTCAGCACTTTTATTATGAGCTAGAAATGATAAGTACCTAATAAGTGGTACAAACAAGTGTCGCAGAAATGAAGCCTAAGGACAATATCCTTGTACTTGGAATGATGATGAGGCATGTTAAAGAGGTAGCTTTTGAGGTAAACCAGAAGGCTGGGTTTCAGGAGCAGAAAATGGGATAGGGCCTTCAGCCTGGAAAACAGTGGGTAGTAAACACGAAGAGCTTGGTACTTTAACATAGTTAAGGTAGGGAATGGTGAACTGTGGTCCATGGTCCAAATCCAGCCCACTGCTTGTTTCTGTATGACCCATCAGCCACTGATAGTTTTTACATTTTTAAATAGTTGAAAAAAATAAAAAGAAGAATATTTCATGACACAGGAAAATTATGAAATTCATATTGTCTGAGTTTTATGGGCACATAGCCATGCCCATTCATTTACCTATTGTCTATCTACAATTGCCTTCACACTAGGCGACAGAGTTGAGTAGCTGCAATGGAGATGATGTGATTCATAAAGCCTGAAACATTTACTATCTGGCCCTTCAGAGAGAGTTTGCCAGCTTCTTCCCTTATGAAGGCCTAAGTGGCTGAAGCACTGTGAGTGAGGGGCTGGACCGAGAAAGAAGCTAGAGAGGTAAGAGTGGCATGTAGCCATAGCAAGGATTTGGGTCCTAAGAGTAATGGGAAGGCCCTTAAAGAATTTAGAGTAGGCTAGGAAAGTGACAAATAGATTTGCAGTTTGAAAAGCTCATTATGGTTGTTATATTGGTAACAGTTTTAGGAGGTAAGTAAGTAGTTCAAGGAAAGTATGAACACAACTTAGACTATGGGGGGCTGGCAAACTAAATGAGGAGGATGGGCAATATGATTTCTGAGGTCCTTTCCAGCTCTAAAATCTGAAGAACCACAGGGGTTTCCAAGCCTGGTTTTGCAACTTTCCAGTTATTTCCAATTACCACAAACAATTCTCAAAAATGTTGTATGATATGAACATCTCTCTAATAGGCAGTAAATCAGAAATATGCCCAACAGAACATCATGCATCTAAAAAGTTTGGGAATCACTGAAGTAAATCTCACACAAGCATACACATGCACACACCCCATCCCCACCATTAGAATGTTTTGCAAGCTGGAAAGAACTATTTTATGAAATTTACTATTAAAAAACTTACAGAACAATATAAATTAACACAAAGTGAGAACACACACAAATACTGATTGAGTGTGCTTCACTGCACTTTCTTTCCCATAATGTAGTAATGAAAAAAACAAAGAACATACCTGCTACATTCTAACAACGTAACTTTAAGGCGACCTTCAGTAAGTGCCCATTGTTGTATATGGATATGTTCTTCTTCATCTTCTTCAAATCCGTGCAAGGTTTGGAATGGAAAAAATGGCTTAAACCTAACAAAAGTAAAAATAAGTCTAAATTTATGAATAATAAGCAACATAGCTTAAAGCATAATAACAAAATTAGCTATAGAAAAACACCACAAAACAAAAACACCTAATACTGCATGTGCCCTATACAACCAAAGCTTACCACACTCCCCCATGACTGGCAGCAAATGGCACCTTCTCTATGACACCCACACCTCCTGTTTTTTTGGCATGCCCTCCCTGACAAGACAGGACACTTAGAACAAAGAAAACGAAAACCTGGAGACCACAAGTATGCCCTGAAACGGGTGGGGCAGGACACACAATCTTTCTGGACAATATGGGAAAGAGTGTTCCTACAGTACAAGATCAAATGCAGATGTACTTTTTATGGAAACAATCTAATTGACAGTGATTAGGGCATGATAATGATAATAATAACAATAGCACTAACATCAATAACAATTAACATCAGCAAATATTCATCAGGGTTATTTACTTTTTGCTGGACAGTGTGCTGAAAGGTTTATACCGCTTTGTAGTATTTAATGCTCACAATCCTGAGAGGGTAGTATTTACTAGCTTCCCTTTCCAGATTAAGAGAATGAGGCTTAGAAATGTTAAAGAATTTGTTTAACTTGACACAGTGAGCGGCAAAACCTGAATTCAACATAGTTTGACTCCATCAAAGCCCAAACTACATAACACTTTGGTTACCTATGAATTATTCAGGCCTTTATGTGCTCATCGTTAATACCCTGGTTTTCATAGAAAAGCTTGCGCTATCAACTGCAAGCTTTAAAAAGTTTTAATATGAGCCACAATTCATATCTTCCATTAAAGCAAAGGACAAAGAAAATGAGAGAAAATTGGGCCTGAAGGCCTACAGTTTTCAATTCATAGTATATACTGTCTGTCACTAGACACAACATTTGTCTGCTCAAAGAGCTTTAAAGGCTTCTCACTAACCACACACACAAAAAGACAGTCATAAATTCTTGATTTCACATTAAGGTCCACCATAATTAATTTTTCAATGGTATTTTTTTCTTGTCAGAAACCTTCCTAAGATGTATACACAGTCACCTCATGTACCAAGAAGATACCATGCATGTTCCTGCTTTCAGGCCTTTTGCACCAATTGGAGGTTTACCCTACTCCTCAAAGCCAACCCAAATCCTGAACACTTTCCATATTCGACTTTAGGTCCTAGATCATAGCAGACCACACACACTGCTTTCACTCTTCTTTATCTTGCAGTCACTTAAATTCCTGTGCATGTATGCTTTTGCAATCTCAAATGTGACCAGGTCCCACAACTGACTGAACCCCTCTCACACACTAACAGGACTGAAGTATGTGTTGAGATGATTTATAAAAATTCAACACTAAAAATGAAATAATCACTTAGAAAATACTAACAGCCAACTACAATTTATACTAATAGACAGAAATACTGTTTTTGGTTTCCCAGTGAACAGGATGAAAGGAAAAACCTTTAGGGAAAGATCAGCAGATATACAGACAATACTCACTGCTTTTTCCAGCTTCTGAACTAGATGGAAAACAGAAAGCCCCCTTCAGTTCCTTAGTTTGTATTTAAAGTCATTTGATTTCAGACAAATTGGCACCACATTTTTGAAAAGAAAAAATTAGGAAATAAATCTGTCATGCTAATACAATGTTGCAGCTGAGTGCTTATAATAGACACACCCTTATGGCTCCTGAAGAATATGTAACTGTCACTCTGTAAAAAATTACAAATATCACTATACTATATATACAAGCAACTTTGAGAAGAAGAATCTAAGTTTGCTAAATCACAGCTGCTCTCTGATCAACTCCTGTTAAGTATAAAGTTAAAATTCACTAAAAAAAAGTCTCACAGGTGTGTGACTTCCACGTTATGGAACAGATCTAACTTGGTTTATTAATGCTTTGAAGGGAGGTTGCTAAAAGTGTTTATGCCCAAAAATATCTTAAAATCAGAAAAATGTGTTCCATTGAAAACTAACACATGAAACAGGGACAAAGCTATTTGTTCAGCAAACTAATAAATAGAACCCACACATTCACATTCTCTAAGAACACTTGGTTTTTCAAAACTTCCAAATCCAAGCCTTTAAGTATCCCCAACCCATAAATGAATCCAAACAATGAAGCAGTGTATTTTTATCCCTTCCTTTTATCTTCCTGTCCTACCACATTATCCTTCCTCAGAATTTATTAGCCTTTACCTTCTGCTAGCCTATCAACTTAGAAATGTTATGTTTTCTCATTCAAATTCCCAGAAAACTAGGCTTCTTTAACAAGCTACCTGTACTTTCAACCATAGAAAACTTAAAAAAAACCAATCCAGGAAGATTGAATTCTAGGATGACAGCATGAGGAACTCCACTGATCCACACTCCGTGGGGAAGCTGGTGAAAAATATTAGAACAAAAACAAAACAGAAATACAACATTTAAAGCTTGTGAAATGGTCCTAAGGACAAACAGCATATGAAGAAACTTCTAATCAAGAAAATCTATAAACATTTGGTAAGAAAGGTAAGAGTCTGTGGTATGTGAACCAAGATCACTCCCTCCAACAAGGTCACCAAGGAAGAGATTTCACTCCAGCCTGCTGCTTCTAGGAACACCGGCTGCCTTACTCTCAGTTCCCAGTCAGAGGGGTTTTTTTCCTTGGGAGGAAAAGGACATCAGTGTTTGTCATTCAGCCCTCAGCTACCCATCAGAGTCTAAATTCTGGGTAAGTGCAGTCAAGAGATGAGAACTCCCAGCCCCCACTCGTGGAACCTTGGGCACAGAGAACTAGAATCCCGGGGCCCGGATCATCCTGGCTCATGGTGCAGCGGTTCTATGCCAAGAGAGGCAAGCCAAGAGGACCTCAGGCTGCTGCCACTTCCTATCCCACCTACTGCCCAGCTCCCGGAGTAGGAGTGACTCACAGAGAAGCTAGCCAATGTCCCCACCCCTAGCCCTGGCTCAAAGATTTTGTTAAGAGGGTGGAAAGAGAGGAAAAGTCAGGCCATAAAACAGCCCCTAATCTCTTCTCAAAGGAATTAACTTTATTTACAATAGAATATGAGAAGCTCAAATCCAAGGGTGCTCTCCGGAACAGTGGAGGTTGTGCTAGAAGCCAACTGGAGGAGAGTCATGATATGATGAAGACACAGCCTACAATAAAGGCAGCCTAGTTTACAACAGAGAACCAGGACATAAGGCAAGTGGGAGGAGCTCTCCTGGGGTTAGAACAAATATTAAACACTGACTTCAGAAACTCTTCCTTCAAAATGAGCCATAATTTAATTGGAATAGTTGGGAGAACAATATGGGCCCCAGGGACTTGCTGAAAACCACAGATACAATGTCAGGGAGGTAGACTTCACTGAAATAATCTGGACAATCACTAAAAAACAAAAAAATAATAAGCCCTGGGAGAGGGGGACGAGTAACCAGAGTTACCATATATTATCTAAAATATCTGGATTCCAACAAAAATTATGAGTGACAGAAAGAAACAGGAAAGCATGACCCAAAGAGCAGAAAGAAAGCAGGCAGCATGCTGCCAGTGAGAGTGACCAGGCGCCGATTTAACAGAACAGATTTTAAAATAGCCATTATCAATATATTCACAAAAACTGTTTAAAAGCATGATTAAAGAAGTAAAAGGAGGTATTATGGTAATGTCATATCAAATTGAGAATAAGGGTAAAGATACAGGATTATAAAAAGAGAACCAAGTGGGAATTCTGTAGTTGAAAAGTATAACTGAAATAAGAAATTCACCAAAAGGGCTCTCAACTGTAGGTAGGAAACAGCAGAAGAAAAGAGTTAGTGAATTTTTGAAGACAGAGTAGCAGAGGTCATGCCAGCCAAAAAAACAGACAGGAAAAAGAATGAAGAAAAATGAACTGAGCCTTAGAGAAACGTGGGATTCTTATGTTTACCAACACACACATAATGGGAAAGTCAGTGGGAGGAGAAAGAGGGGATGAGAGGAAAAAGGAGCAGAAAAATATTCAAAGAAATAATTGAAACCCCCAAATCACAAATTATCTGATTCTATTCTTAAGATATCCAGAATAGAGAAATGCACAGAGACAAAGTAGATTAGTGGCTGCTGCTTGGGTTTGGAGGCAGTACATGGATTAGGAAGATGACAGAAGGGTATAGAGGGTTTTCTTCCACCTCTCTCAGAAATGCAGTCGTAACAGGTCAGTCAGGAATTTTCTGGTCAGTACCAATGAGGTACTCTGTCACATGGGCCCTTCTCCATCCTGCACCCCCCACCCTAAAAAGAAGATGAGATAATTCTCATGATAAAACCACTTGCTCTTCCCCCTAAGGGAAGGTGACTAGGCCTGAAACAATCCTTTGTTTTCTTTTGCTAATAATATTCCTTCCCCAACTCTCCAGCCTACAAAAATCTTCCATTTTCTGCAACTCCTTGTGGCATCTCTCTACTTGCTAGGTGGGATGCTGGGTAGATTCATGAATCCCTTAATAAAGCCAATTAGATCTTCAAATTTTCTGTTAAATTTTGTTTTTAACATGACTATAAAGCACTTCTTTGTTTTTGTAATACTTAGAATAACCCCAAAACTGGGCATTAGCACACCATATGTAGACAGTTTTAGAAGTCTCACAAGTAGTATAAACTGAAGCCAAAATTGGAACCTGTGTTAGTCTGCTGGGGCTGCCATAACAGAATACCACAGACTGGGTGGTCAAAAAATGAATTTTATTTTCACACAATTCATTTCACACAGATAAGGAAATAAGTTCAAAGATAACAAACAGCCTGTTGGAGACTGCATCCGTTATTACACAGTCACATGGAGATATATGCCAACAAAATAGGCATAAAGCAAGAAAGAAAAAGGGAGCCAGAAAATAGTGGATTCAAGTCACAGAGGCAATACAGGTGTGTGGCAAGCCAAGAGAGGGGTCCAGTTTGGAGCAGGTGATGAAAGAGGAGATCTCCAAGAAATAAGGTAATAGGATAAGCATAAGGAATGA